TTGTGGTACAATTAAACAACACTTTTGTGACTGTGAGATGCGCTTTTTCATTAGGATTACTGATGATGATTACTTGAGAATGATACAATGTCTTGCCTTCCAAGGCCCACCCTGTAGATATGCCGCGAGATGTCTGCGTCCACTCGTCCGATGTACTCCCTCGCCCACTGAGTGTTCTCAGCGCTCAGGGTCTCTTTAGCGTAGCACAGACAGGCTCATCAAAAAACCATCATTTTTGTGACTGTGAAATGTCATAATGGAAATATTGCGCACTAGATTGGGGCCTAATAATCTTCAGAAACCTTGTTTTCCTTTGAGAATGTATTTTACTTCAATGGTATTTAGCTTGGCGATGAACCATCTGAGTGCCGCCTGATTGACTCGCGCGGACGACGTCGTCCGCTTCTTTTCGTCGCTTCGTCAGCACCACGTCTTCTACGTCTTGCCACCAATCTCACCGAAGTCACCATACTCATGAAAGAAGTGGACGCGTTTCGTAACCCTTACTCGACCACTAACATTGGAGGTGAGGTAGCAATCAGCAAATCGTTGACTTCTTGAGGTTTCTCAAAAAGCACGCCTTTTACTGGGTTGATACTCTAGTTGAAGGGTGATGGCTTTATCAGATCTAACATAGGAGGCACTAAATGGTGCAGTAATAGCCTGAAAGTTATTTGCTGTGGTTCTATGACTTCTCTGATTCAGACTGTTCACCGTTTACGCCTGGTGGATATCTGGGAAGACTGCTCGGCCCCAATCCACCATCGTTGCCGAACCTCAAACAACTCTCACTGCATGTTGATGTCATGGTGGAATCGATTAGTGTAAGTCGGATTGAAATTGTTAGCTTTGGGGTGATTTCGCACTTCTTAAACTGCTCGGGATTTCAGCTTACTCCGTTGCCGTGTCCGAGCCAGGATTTACACTATGCTCTCCACACGCTCTCATCAGCACCATTTCGGACGCTTATACAGGTTGGCGGACGATTTCACTGGAACTTCACACTAATAAATACGAACTGAAAGATAGAGGAAAAATTACGTGGCAAACAAATGACAAAAAAACGAGCTTTGATTTACCCCTCCCCTGAGGGAGCGACACAAGCTCAGGGAAGGGTAAATCAGAACGTCAGAACGCCATAGACAATTCTGTACGAAGTCACAATGGCATTTGTGTTGTTGTTTGGCTGTTTTCCAGAATGAACTCGTCTTTTCTACATATAATAAACAGATAAACAAATAAATAAATAGTCATACTCGAACTGGGCCAAACACGACAGACGAAAGCAGCAGCACGAAAGGTATTGCTTAAAGCAACAGTTCAGGAACGGTTTCGCGGGAAAAAACCACCAATAATGAAGTTGTAGATGAAAACCAGACGATTAATGTATGAAAAACTGGAAAAAAACGTCGGGGAGGGTCTTAGACAGGTACTCTCCCTCTGCCGCTCAGCAATGGATAAAGACGCACGTTGGACGAGTTGTCTGAACGTGCCCGCTGTAAACGCGCTCCATTTTTCAATCAATTTTCCCTGTGGTCCCAAAACGAGCACGATTGCCGACGCGTCCAATGACGGCCGGCAAGGGGGCGGGATTGGGGAAATCCCCAAGAACACCCATGTTTGAGGGACTTTCCACCCTGTTTTTGAGTTTCTGAGGTAAGTTCGTTTATTATTTCCACTGCATATGTTCTTCACTAGGGCTCGTGTATCCCTCAGTAGTAGTGGCATTGAAATTTTCGGACCCTCCCTGAACTGTTGCTTTAAAGGCAAGCTTCAGGATCAAACGGGTGTGGCTCTTGCACACGAATACGAATGTATGGCGGAAGTGGGCCGGCAGTAAAGAAAAAAGGAAAAGAATCCGTCGAAAACGCTTAGGTTGAGGGCTCACTCACCTTCCTAATCGGCTGTGCTAAGGGAATGAGAGACTAAGCGCGGAGAGGAGAGTATGAGGCGAGAGAGCGCTACAGATGAGAGGGCGCCAGACAACAGCCTGCTAGGAGGAAAAATTGCAGCTGCTGCAGCTTACTTTGCAAGGCCCTAGCGCTCTTATCGGTTTTTTCCATGCACGGGAGTGCCACGTCTGTAATTGTCCTCTAGGCGTCTATCTTACAGACCGAAGAGAATCCTTCACACTTCTGCCTGGGCTGTGCCTTTATTTTACATTGCTTATGAGATTGAGGTCTGATAACATCTTGCGACAACACAGGCTTGTAAAAGATCCCCAAAATGAAAATGGTTAAATCACATTTTTCTTTATTTCAGATAAGCTTCTGCTGCGCGCAGTTCCGTGAAGAGTGACCTCCCAGCAAGAAGCTACTTGATTGCCGGCATGGAACAGACTCTGAAAGCAGCCGCCGAGACAGGAGCTGACACTGAATTTGAGGTGGAGCCCGAGGAAGGTGAGAAATACATATGCTTCATCCCATCCAGCAGCTTTACTTTCCCGAACCGAACATTCTGACTTTGTTGTTTGATTTTTCGTTGAATGCAAATGAAGCGTAGATATGTCCATTGTGGGAGCCTTTTGCCTCCATAGAGTGATGAGATTTTCGAATGGGGATCTTTGATCTTAAATTCATTGACGCGAAACCCACTTTTTGTTGCTGTGAATGGGAAGCCCGTAGGAGGTGCTGCTCGAAATTGGTAATTGCACGAATAAAGAAACGATTTCTACTAACAATTTCCACCCGGTCTCTCCAATCTAACTAAATCCGTTCCCATTATTTTCTACCGGAAAACCTCACCTTCACTCTATTCCGTGTTTCTGTAGGGGGCTCTCAATGTAGAATTATACTGTACAAAAGATGACTATTCGATTTTTCAGGCTATGTCGACATGACCATAGAGAAGGGCCGTCTCGAGTACACATTCGCGTTCTTCTATTATAATCCGTCAATCTGCGATCCGGCTCCTCCCGAAGATGTTATAGACCGACGAAAGTCACCTATATCTGCTTAGAGTCAGATGAGGCCACGCTTTACTACCGTAGCCGCTTTTTTAAAATAGTTATGTGATCAATGTTCTGAATTTCGTACGAGCTTCGCATAATTAAGATTTCAATGTCACAGTGATCACCTGGAGTAGGCTGGGCTCAGCGCCTGATACTGTAAATAGAAAAATATAATTAGGATGCCTAAACTGTGTGAACCTTGCAACCTCCCATATGATTTTAATGCAAGTGATGATTGTAAATATTATACCTATGAAATTATAAGCATTATTTGATACTACTGGGTGTTGAACTTTTGATGTTTTGTTGTCTTAATGACGGGTTTGAGTTAAAAGAAAGGAGAATAAAGTGATTATCGGATTTATCAGTGCTTTGGTACGTATTATTCTATCCAAGTGAAGACGGCTTAATGGGTGGACGAGAAAAGTCCGCGTTCGTGTGACCTCATCCAACCTTCTGAGTGTATATTGCTCCTAGAAATGACGCTGAACCAGCTTTGCACAGTAAAATTGGCCAGAGTTATTCTTGATTTCGGGTCGTAAAGAGCATTCGGCCCACCCCCCTTTTCATTACACTTGATAATATACCAAGATCTCTTTCATTATGGCTGTGAGAGTGTTTTCTATTATATCAATTAGCACTCTTGAATCCGGTGGAAAGTCATAGATATGACGCGGGTTTGCGCATAATCATTCCCAAAAATGGCGGAGAAAGCTTCAGCAGCTGATTTCCTGGTGCAAAAAGGCAGAAAATGGGGTTGAAAATACCACAAAGCGTTCTCTGCAATGTATAAGGATCACATCTAAAAAGTGTCGTAAAATATTTATATTACACAGTGGTCACCAGAAAAAATAAACCATTTTCTGTCGATGCACACCAACAAGCTTCACCTCGCACACTGTGCTGGACGCGATAGAAGACTTCTGGCAATGTATTCGTGAAATGTTCCCTTATGCGCAGAAGGTTCCTGGTCACTTCCATCATCGTCGTCAGAATGCGAAGTCATTCAACATTGCCATCAACGTCAAGGAAGTAGTGATTGTTTCAGCCTGAAGCAGCTGCTGATTTTTTTGATCCCGATTTCATCATGTGTAATCTTCCAGAAGCAGAAGCTCTGATTTAAGCGTATACTCTTCCGATTTCAGACATTATGCGTCTATCACCATATCGACAGTGGACCGCTACCCATCAATGGACTCGATTGCTCAATCATTGCATCATATTCTTGAGGGCTATTCTTCTGTCTCCCCTGTAGAAAATATCGATATTGTCAACACATGGAATATTTACTGCAATAAGAGGAAGCACGGTTTACATTCTTCGGTTGGTTGTTTGGCCGTCTGCTGTGGCGCTTGAAGGGCTGCGAAAATAGTGGTGCATGGGGAATACGAGATCCTAAGGAGCAGGTAAGTGAGATTTATTAAGTGGTCAGCATTATGAGAGCAGATAACTGCTTGTTATTCTCAATTGTTCAAGCGAAGAGCCTTCAGCTTCCTCGCATGAGCAAGGTGGACGTCAGCGGTCACTGTGTTGCACATTACAATATTAGGAGGTCGCAATATTCCTTGCAAAGAAGGAGTCTACTAGATGCATCCTTCTCCTATTTCCTATACGCTCCGAATGCGGGAACGTATTTTGTTTGACGTTCCTCGTCAGTACCCAGGCGATCACGGCGACCCGCGTTGCCAGTGTACAAGGACCTACTGTCCCTGTCAACAGTCTATCAATTGTCATAGTGAAGAAGATGTACATTGCTTTGAAGGGCGTGCAAGATAAAATACAACGAGCGTGTTGACCTGCTCAGCCACGTGAGCCTATGGCATGTAGTTCCATCGGGCCCGAATTTGTACCTTGCTCGGGAAAGTTAGTGAGTGGAGCTTACAAACAGACATGGGACAGTTTCACGGCGGCTTTGTACGGGAAAACGCCCAATTGTTTTCGTAGAGCAAGTCCACAACTAGCCCTCCGCACGATGTTATTGCCGATAGAATAACCGCCTTTCTTGATACAAATGAACCAATATTAGACTGCGCTTTGAGCGGGATTGCTCTCATCGTGAATTTTCCATGGGTAGGAGGGGGGGGGGTCCGTCAGGTTTGAGACCAGGGATGAGCGGTTACATAGAGTATTTGTTTTGGGGAGCTGACAATTGATGACTTTCTTTGAGAGCAGTTTCGGGATGATTCTAAGAATCGTGTCCTTTCTGGATCAGTCATGAAGTCGCGCTTGCGAGGTAAGGTGAATGTTGGGCGAAAAAGTTCTAAATAGCGCGCCGTAAACGCTGGAAACCTACAAACTTAACTTCGATTCGGTTAGATCTGAGCGCAGCATATAGTCAGATAGATCTAGGAACTGTGATTGCTGCATATACTGTAATTTTGCAAGTGGAATTCTCTATTTTTGTGACATTGTCTCCACTTATGGCAATTGGCTTCTGCAGAATAAATATAAAAGCAGACGCTTGACTTTGTTCCACTTCGTTTATCGCTCTCTTTAACAACAATTCACGATCTACCATATCCTACAACCACTTGAGTGATTAGCTGCTCAGCCCACATGTTCATTGTGGGCTGAGCAGCTAATCATTGAATGTAATATTTGTAATATCTGCTAAGCTGAAAGCTTCAGCAGATGTTACAGCTTTTGATTTCAACAAAATTAAAATCGGCTGAGCTGTGAGCTTAGACAGCTTTTGTGTGTTTGAGCGGAGTGAAAGAATCCAACAAACCTTTCAACTTAACGAGCCGTCGTCGACTAGCCGGCTTATCAGTTATAAATCTGGAAGCTTATAATCTTTGGTAGATATACGATTGGAAGCCGAAGGGACTCTACTAGGAATCATGAAGACAAATAAGCAATGTTTCGGAAAAGCGCAAGTGCTGTCTAAAATTTAAGGTGGGATAAATTCCCTCAAAGGATTTGCAACAATGTTGTTGTGTCGTCAGGTTTGCCACATCAGGCTTCCGGCCGAAAACTCTGGAGTATTAGGATGTCACAGAGGTAAAATGCATTATTTTCTTTTCTCGGGTCTTTCTCTTGCACCGTTCACCTCACCGCTTTTCGCGAGCTTCTCCGCACTCGTTTGGCCAGGAAAATGCTGAGAGTAGGGTCAACCCTATCGTTGGGACTTTTTGCAAAATTTCTACGTTCCCCCATCCTTCATGAGAGATTTCATACGACCCCTTCTTCACGACTTCTTTTTTCCTTTTTTTTCCCTCAAAGGGACCGACGCACGCACGAAGATGGCAGCGGATTTTCTCTTGGCGCGCTCTCACTCGTTACATGTGTTTCGCTGCTACCGAAGCAATTCGGACCCGCCACAAAACTAAAGGCAAACCAACGACCCCCTGTTGGTGATTGTCCCAACGTAGGGTTGACCCTGGTTGAGAGTCAACGCGCACATTAGAGAGACTACCGCCAATTCAAAAACTGTGAATATGCTGGTGCATCGTTCAAAGTGGGGTATATGTCGAACCGGGTGCTGCATATTCGATCCGCTGGCGCATCGCTCAAAGCCCGCGATTGGCTGTATTTGCAAAGTCTGACACCGGTCTCACTGTCCACGGTCGCCTCGCGCGTGCATTTCGATAGGAGCATCTAGTTTGAAATTTTCGACCTGCCCCTCTGTTCGAAAAGGGTATACTTTTTCTTCAGTGGAACACTTGCAAAAGCGAGAAGCTGCAGAGTAGAGTGTCGGGAGTCTGTGAGAAAGTTGAGATGACACGCAAGTTTCCACCTAATTTGAAAGGACTATAAGCCAAATTTTTTCCCTTGAATGCTTAATTGATATCCTTGCTTCTTCAATAGGTTCTAAGCGGCGTACTATATATAGCGTAATATGTTGGTGTTCATCAGGGCAGGATTTTTCTTTTGGCAAGGGCGCGTTTTCCCCCACTGTCATCATGCTAATCACATCTAGTAGCCAAAGCAACGCGCACTCTCCATTTGAATTTCCATTCAAAGCAGTTTTAAAAGACGAATTCACGACTAGAATAAACTGAAGATGAGTATTTTATTTGGTTGATAGGACCTCCTAAGGGTGCGACTGAAGCGCAATTGGCACGAAGGAGTTGACCTCGGCGACCTATTAAGGCTCAATCTTGGCGCGTGGGCCAGTGCACGCCCACCGATCATCTGATCACTCGCCGCAGGTCTATACGTGGCGAGTGATTAGATAGGTGAGAGAGCGTAGTGTTGAAGAGGGCACAGCGATGATAGTCGCATCAATGCTCAAATCAACGGGCAAGGAAGGGGTCCCATTTCTCGGTTCTGGGCCGTTTCTCATGGTTTTTCCTTCTTTAGTGTACCACACCATCGCTAAGTTAATTTGAAATGGGTTGCCTTTCCAGCGTGAATTCGTCCTTTAATAGAAATCTGTCCATCACGTTTGAAATGGGTGTAAAGATTTAGCGGTGACAAGATAGTGAGTGACAGGATGAACGTTGTTGGTCATTGCGTTTCACGATTTCAGGTGTCTCGGTTCCGGAAGCAATAGTACCTTTTCGAAGATTTCCATACGAAGCTTTAGTTCGTCTGGGTGCTGGATATTTTTTAATATTTATATACAAGAAGAGTTCGAGTGGAGTGAAGCGTGTCGTGCAGAGACAAATCTGGCTGTGCAGCAATCGACAACGTGCAATGATTCAATAGTTTTTGAAGAAGAAATATATAAATTGACATAATGTGAGCGTTTTCAATTATTTAGAGGGCGAACATTTTAGGTATGCAACAATAAAAATGAAAGTTACAAAAGCGTTTCAGCATAGAGTTCTAGGCTGATGATCGTAGATCCTTCGTTGGAATCGCTATCTTATTTTTTCTATGCACATATCTATTAAAAGTTGTTGTCCGAATACACAGCGAAATTTCGCCCTTCCCTGTCTTGGCCCAGAAAGCGAGACTGCAGGACGACTGCACTTATTGTTCTCGGCACATTGTACGGATCTCCACATATTCCTTTCGGACACCTGAAAAAAGTGGTTGAGAAAATGATTCTGCACGTAATTATCAGGTTTTCTTTGGCTATGGAGGAGGGTTGGTTACTGTCAATTTCAAGGGTAATTTCTGAGCACTAAAGCGTCGCGGGCAGAGAGTACATTACTTACGGATTTTTTTTGAAATATAATTGGGTTTAATAATAAATAATTTTTTATTGAGTATTTTCGTTATTCCATAAATATTAGGTTGTTAGAAGGTGTACCATATGTTGAATTTTTTTTAGGGTCTCTTACGTCGAAGTACATGTATTAGACTATACATTATACTATATGCACCACACTGAGTCAGTGATCTATTGGCTCAACTACGAAGTGTGACGCTTAAAGGAATCTTCCACGGACCATGGACCAGTGGGCGGGACCGGAAGTGGTTTTGCGACGAAATGCATGGTAGGTACGGATCCACGTTCATGGGAAGGTTTGAAGTGAATCCTGTTCACGTTCGTGCGTTCGACACGTGGATCCGTACCTACCATGCATTTCGTCACAAAAACTTCCGGTCCCGCCCACTGGTCCATGGTCCGTGGAAGATTCCTTTAACCTCCAGAAGGCTGGCAGCTACGAGCTGAAAAGGCAGTGTTTCAATTTCGAGGTGCCTATGGGAATCGCATTTCTATTGTGGGAATGGCTACTGAGCAAAAAGCGCAGAGGTCGCGAGCTGAGGTTGGTCACAGCTCAAGTTGGATATTGTACGACTTTCCAGCTAACATGAGCTAGAGTCACGCCTTTTTTACGCGAAACGCGTCGTCTCGATTGTCATGAAGCGGACATATACTCTATCACAGGCTCTGTCAACGTTTCAGTTACCCTGGAAGATCATTCACAATGCACTGAATCTGGTTGATGTTATTTAATCCTTCTACCGTAGTAATTTGAAATGCAATGAGTATTTGGCAAACCACGGGAAATTTCAAAGAAAAATATTTTTGGCTCTTCTCTCTTGGCTCGTATTCACAGAGATATGGCCGATAGTTGGAAGAAAAGCTTGGTTGCCAAATATGTGTATAATTTTGAGCTTATTTGAGCCGTCAGCAGAAAAAGGTTAACGCGACTAGCAAAAGCTCATGATGTCGAGTAGTACTGGTCTGAGCGCCACCGTACCAAGAAGAGCGAGCTTCAATATAAGAGGAACGAAACCAAGGGCTGAAAAGAGAATCCAGGGAGGGACGCAAAATTTTCGAAAAGGCTAATGAAACGGTTGCTCCTGGCCGCAGTACAGAGCAGAGCTGCCCATGACTGCTGCAGAAAGCCGCGTTCTATACTCTTCTAATAGTTCTGCGGCGGTAGGCCGGGTCTATAATGGATATGACGCCTTTTCAGTACCTATTTGAGAGAAGGCATGCACCATTTTGACTAGCGCTCTTAGTGTTTTGCTTTACAAATACCTCCAAGACCCTGACTGGGATTTTAAGGGCAAAGGCGGAAGGAATACAAGTGAAAAATGCTCCGTATGCTCTAGCGTTCAATACCAGAAGTGAAGGCTTCTTTAAACTTTGCATGTTTCATGAAAGAATCCACTAGAATCCTGGATGCTAACGAACAACTGTAGAAGTAAGAGTAAGGCCGATGAATATGGGCACGAAAGGCTGTGGATCCTCACTTGTCTTGATGAGAATGGGAGCCGGGAAATTTGGAACACATCGAGGGGTATATATCAGTTTTCCTCCTTAAGTCAGTCACCTCGGATTAGGGAGCCTTTTATTTGCTCGTAACAAGCTTAAATCTAATCCTAAGCCTCGCTAAAGTTAAGCCAAATGTAATAAAATAAGGGTAAGCCTGACTAGGCCTATGTTAACCTGAGGCTTCAATCATCGCGCAGCTCTGGTGACCAGAGGTAGGAGGAGAAGTGAACGTCATCCCACCTCGCGAAACAAATCCTGAAGCAATCACTCACTGTTAGTTCCTTTGCAACATACGTGCGTATTGGGATCACACATTTGTCCTTGGGAACAATCATCGGATCGTGCACAGCGCATCAGCTGATTGTTTCTATCCACGGATGGCTCTCCACGTAGCCCAATAGTGCACATCACTCCTTAAAACAGAAACGCTCAGATTATGTGAAAAGGTAATGTTTGAAGGCAGTGAGTGCGACCGCTAATAGGCGGAGCGGTTTTGATGACATCATTTGTAGGCCAACCCACTCAGCACGCGAGTGGAGGGGAAGGAAGAGTGTGTAGAATCAAATTCCATCAATGGTGAGCAATGACTCATCGAAACCATCCTATTCAGTACCTACAGCGCGAAACAGTTGTTTACAGGGTAGCCTTTCCACGTTCATTAGACACTCTATGGAATTTTGTAAACTCACTTTTACATTCTCCTTCCATGTGACTGTACCCAGCGCGACATGCACAGACACCCTTGACACATTCCAGCGGAGAGTTTTCCGAAAATTCGTCGGTTGAGTTGCGAGACGGTGAGCATTGAGCAGATATCTGATGTGAAATAAGGCTTACAGCTTGTTTCACAAGAATGCTGGGTTGTGAACAAAACTTTCGCCCCAGGCGGGACTAGAACCCGCACCTCTCGCTTTCCGGGCAAGTGCGCTACCAAACAAAAACAAACAGTTAACAAACAAAAACAAGTCAAAATCCATTTACAGCTTGCTTTAACGTCATTCTAGATCAGATCCACCACAAGAACGAGGCAGCGCTCAATGTCACTTGCAA